CCCATAGTGCTCATACTACTTGGTAAGTTAGTATGAAGGCCATATATTGCCAGACAAAGACTTCCTGCTTGACTCGTACCCACATCCTCCATCACGCACGCTTTATTACAACAGTGACATCAAAACTAAAAAAAAAAAAAAGTTAATTTAATTTCTGTTAAAGATTTCGGCGTTGCCTGCACAAGTTATAACCCCTCCAAAACCTTAATCCAAATATTAAGCGAAGAAGGGGCAGAAAGTGGGGGAGAGCACGAAGGATCAACGCAACGAAAGCGTCAAGGACTTCCCCCCACCAACTCTATGATCGATGATCAAATTAAGGCTTAAAAGCTAAACGTTAGACCAAGCATGAACAAAAAGTAGATCCTTGTCATTGCATCAACCGCATATAGTAAAGAATTTATTAAGAGATATATCAGGAATCAACTGAAGAAGAGAAAAGGGAAAAGAGTTACCTCTTGAAGCTGGTTCAAAGAACAGGAACCCCAACAAAATCAGCAACACCTTCACCTATCAAAGCTTTCTCAAGCTTTTCCAAAACAGAACACAGAACCCTAAAAGTCCTCCAGCAACCACAAGCTGAACAGAGCAGGGAAAATCCAATCAAAGAGATTAGAGGAAATTTTGATAGCACCTCCACCTCTTCTCAAAATTTCGGCCAACCCTAAAACCCTTCCCCAAGTGGGGTTTTATAGCAGAAGAGGAAGGAGAAGCCTTACCTGCACTTACCTGGGCGGTGAGCCAAATGTCAGAAGGACGGGCGAGTGGCGACAAGAATCGCAGAGCAGGGAGCGTGGCGGGTTAAAGGCTGGAGCGCGGCAGGGAGTAGATGGAAGCTTTTCAGAGCACGAGGGGACCTCAAGTCAAAACTTCGAGAGGAGAGAATCCGAGGGCCGCTCGGTCGGGATCGGTTCGCAGGGAGAGGAGATTGCGGGTCGATCCTTTGCAAGGAAGAAGAGCGTTCAGTTCGGCTAGGGCAGCGATCGGGACGAACCGCGAAAGGGAGAGGGACTCATGTCAACGAGTTTGGTTTAGGGATTTAAGAATTTTAAAAATAAGGATTTTTTTTCTTTTTTTATTTAAAAAATGTTAAATTTCGTGCAATTTACCTAGCAAAATGAGTGTTTTCCCTAGGTAATTTCAACGTTCCAGACGCAACGGCACAATCTGTTTCGTCATCCGAGGTCGTTTGGGTAACATCGCCGACGATCGGGTCAAAAAAAAAGTGTCAAATTTGGTTGTCGTCAAAATTTCGAGCCCGAGATCGATCATTTCAAAAATTTTATTAAACTTTCGACGAATAAAGACGCGGACGATGCGAATTGTGGAAAACGAATGTGTTGATTCTCTAAATTACAATGTTTGTGCGCGCGAATGTGCAAAAATTGTGCATAAGGTCATCCTGGTCATCCTAGGGCTTAATGATCCTATAGGGACTCCTTTTGGGTTTTCTCATATTGGTTTCAGCCTCCTTCAACCTTCTAAGTGCTAGAGGTCAAGAACCACATGCGGAACTTCAAAAGAGTAAGGAAGTGGTTTGGACTTCTAAAATGAGGTGGGTCTCATTTCTAAGGCTCTAAGATAGTCAAAGGAAGAACCCTAAGGTTAGACCCTAAACCCTAAGAAGAAAACTAGACATCACTAAAAATGAGGTCAACAACGATCCAGATGCTATCGATCATAGCCTACAAGTAGGATCCGCATCCTGATCCAAATGCTACCGCTCATAGCCCACAAATAGGATCCAGTTACACGATCCAGGTGTTATCGATTAAAACCTACAAGCAGGATCCGCGCCCTGATCCAAATGCTACTGATCATAGCCCACAAGTAGGATCTGCGTCCTGTTAAACAATCCAAATGCTATTGATTCTTCCTGTGATGACGATGATGATTTGTTCTCTGATCTTCGCGCCAAAGTTTTGAAGTTGAGATGCCGAAGCCGTGAGTGTCGAAGCTGTGAGCGCCGAAGCCGTGAGTGTCGAAGCTGAAGATCTAGGGTTTGCCGAAGCCGAAGTCGTCGGTCTAGGAAGGAGTGTCGAAACCTTCAATCCTTGAGTGCGGCAAAAAAGCTGAAGTCGAAGCGGACGAAGCCGAAGTGGAAGAAGCAGTCGAAGATGTCGCAGAAGCAGTGATGGCTAGCGAAGGAGATCTGAAGAAATAAAGAGACGACGAGCAGACGAGCAAGAAACAAGGCAAAGAAATAGTTCCTCCCTTCACATCCTGCAAGCAGGCCGGCGGGAAGGGAGTCTTGCCGGAACTCCAACAATTATCGGTGGTCAGAGCAAAAATTTGGCTCTGATACCATGTCAAAGTTTTGAGAAAAAATAAGTCGAATTCTGAATAGTCTCGATGCCTTTTCTCTTTGCTTTCATTCCATTAAATAATAATTTTACAATCTATTTAAGGTACAAAATATTTTGTATAATCTATTTTAGATAACTTAATAATACATATTCATAATCTAAATATTCAGCTAAAATGGAAATAAATCAGAATAAAGATATTGAAAATAATTTAAATAAGGAAGCTCCTAATTAAAGAAAACTCCTAATTTAGCTGTCTGTTTTCCGTCCTTCCTGATTGACACATGGGGCATACAAATCAAGAGAGAAAGGACTGGCTTGCAGCGCTTGAGAGGTGTGAACTAGAAAAATGAGAGTGAGGGAGAGAGGCGGTCGGCACTGCAACAGACTAACAGTTTTGGATTAGGATAATGGAATAAAGCTTTCGGGCTTCTCTTAATCCCCCTTTTAGCTGATTGTGGATGGCCAATATTTGTCCTTGGAATAAGGCATCTTTTCAGTGAGTTTAGAAGGAAAATTATCCTCCTAGTAGCAGTCGTCTTGCTCCCCACTCCTCTCTTTTTCTATTTATTTTAATTTTATTTTAGAGTTTATTTTAAGCAAATTTTGAATTGTCTTTAAAAAAATTAAAATAAACTTAAAAATACAGTAATGTAGGATTAGGAAGGAAAAAGGTTAAACATACGGTTCTATGGAGAGTTGTCCAAAATAGAACGTGAATAATAGGTGTAACATCTTAGATAATACTTGAGATAAACAAATAAAATATGAGGACATATTGCCAACCTCAAATAGTTTGGATAATGCTAATAAGGATTAGCTTAGCTTAGCTTAGGATTATTGATGAAGCAGCTTTAAAGATTCATTGAAGAAGATATGTTAATTTTGATATTTTTGTATACATATTGATTGATAACCAGAATAGATTTTAATTAACTCAGGAAAACATAATATGATGTATTGGACAAATAACATAAATAAAAATTTAGCCATTGATTCCTACTTGAATACATCATAAATTGCACATGCTTTATCAACACAAAATGCAACATGAAAATCCCTATTCTGGTTTACAAATTTTATGCAGTAATTTAGCAAAATACAACATATTTTTGTAGACAGATTAAAAAGATTGATGCTAGAGAAAGTACATACATGGTCGGCCAATTTTTTTTGTGGCATCATATTTTATATGCAATTAATGTAATAGGAAACTCAGAATGCCACCAATTTACATCGCCTGTTTTTGACAAGATAGGAAGAAGGAAAAAATTTATCTATAATTTTTATACATAAAGCACAAGAGTTAATTTTAGCCATTCCTTGCAAATTAACCTACAGAAATTGACTTCCTAAGTGATGAGAAAGTAAATTAAAATATAAGGCAGTTAAGACTTAGTAAATTAAAATATAAGGCAGTTAAGACTTGAGGTTCTAAAAATAGGTACACTACATTTTTGTAGACAAAGTATGAAGATTTATGCTAGAGAGAGTACGTGATTGACCAACTTTTTTGTGGGGATCATATTTTATATGCAATTAATGTAATAAAAACACAAAATGCCACAATTTACAGCGCAGGCGGTTTTTGACAAGAGAGGAAGAAAGAAAAAAGTTATCTATGATTTTTATACATAAAGCACAAAAGCATAATTTTAGTCCTGCCTTGCAAATTAACCTAAAGCAATTGATTTCCCAAGTGATGAGGAAGTCAGATAAAATATAAGGCGATTATGACTTGCGGTTCTAAAAATAGGTAGAGAATTTGTGTTTTCACCCCACGCACTATAGCTCTTAATATCGTTAGTTTTAAGCCTTGTATAAATAGACTAAGCACTCGTTTCTCTTTATATATATCAGGGCAAACTCTTGCCCTCAAGTATAAAACAAACATAAATATATCATTTTTAAACAAATATTAAGCTATATAAGTAAAAGTTAATTAATTTTTAACATTTCTATGCCACATTAATTATTACAAAAAAAATAAAATAAAGCCAAAAGCATTCTAAGACAGCAATAAAATTAGATCCAAATATCTTATTTCTTAATAGTTGCTCCAATTTCTCTCCCGGTGCTTTACATGGGGAAAAATCCTAGCATGGAGACTACTCCAAATCTCTTCCATACTTATTTGTTCAGCTTATTTTGATAGGTCTCAAACAAATCCATCTCATTCTTCTAATTTTGATACGATCAGTTTTTAAAAGGTTCCACTTCAACCATAAAACAACAGTCAAGTTAATAAGGCATAAACTTACAAATACAAATCTCAAGTAACAATACTGCAAACAATAATCTACTGTGCTTATAAATCAAAAAATCATGCACAATAACACCAATACTCAAGCCAAAGTTTAACGATATTCTTCATCGGAAGTGATTAAATAAGGAAAGAACTACTTAGGCATGTGAAGTTGTAAAACACTGTTTATATCATTAAACCGTAATTCTTGTAGCATTCATTCAATCTCAATCGCAGCACCAAAATTAAACATGAAAAACACAATAGTCACACAACCAACAGCATATAATTCCAAAGCATTCTTCTTCATGCCTAAATAGCCAACTAATCCAGAAAAAGAATCCAATATTACAAATCCTAGGCAAACAGGCAAAAATGTTGCAAAATGAAGAGAAAGAAATTATGAACTTAGGGAACTCGAGAAATAAAACAAGATTACGCCAACTTACCAGATTCAATCCAAGCCTGGTTTAGTTCATTGCATGCCTGAGCAATCCAAAAATATTAGATACAGAAAATAAACAATATAATACGTAAAGAACAAACCTATACAGAAATAGATGACATAAATAAACAAAAACGCTCTTAAATGGAATATTACCAGTTTACAAAATGAAAAAAGAAAAAACCAATAAGTCTGAGCCCATACAACAGTAAACTCAATGGAAACTCAACTTACATGGTTAACCGTCATGCGAGCCTCATAATTGTCCACACAACTCAGCACAAGATCAACTCCTGCACTTCTTGCATTATTTTGTTCATCATTCTTTGGGTTTTTCCTTGTCAGGCTATCCAGAAAAACTTTGAAACCTTCTACAGTTGTGATATTTAATGAGTAGCTCTGAAAAAGTTAAGTGGCAGACTGAAACATAAAAACTAGATCGTCTACTAGCAAAGGATAATGATGGCATTTTAAAAGAGCGCAAAATATCATATCATAAAATTAACTACTAAAAATTTTTACATCAAGAACCTTTTTAAGATATTTCCTTTAGAAAACTTCTGCAAAGTAAATATAAACAATTTGATCCCATTTACCTCAAAAGAGTTTGGATTACTTTGTCTCTACTTTAGTTGGTACCAACAGCTTAGCTACATTAATTTAAAGCTAATGGATGCAAAGAAAATTTAGAACATAAAAATAGATGTCCATACAAATAAGGAGCCATGTGATATATCTATTATATTTTTAAACACATCTAAAGAAACTCCTTGTAATGGTTTCCCCAAACAAGTTATATGTCACAGGATCGCTTCCAGATCCTCAGTTCAATCATCAAAGTCACAAAGCCATCAGTTAGGTGGTACCCAAGAAAAAAAATAATTTTACCATAAATATTCATCTCCATTCTATGAAAATGTATACAACAGTGGAGTAAGCTTTGTTTTTTCCCTTCTTTTTTTTTTTTTTTTTTTTTTTTTTTTTCCACACACATGGGTGCAGTGGAGCATAGATATGGCCGATCAGAGTTTATTGGTACAAGCTAGAATTGGAGTAGTCTTATATTTCAGTGCAAGGTTAAACAAAGTGAAACATCGCATCCAGGTTTTGTCGCTCCCTCTAAACCATAACATTACATTACATGCGACAATAGATTATCTTTTCCAGCATTATTTAGAAAAATGTATCCAAAACATGAATCATGCTTACTTCAAGAACAACATCAGGGTTAATGTCTGAAAGGGTCTGGACTGCAGCATCTGTTTTGGTCATGCCAACCTGCAGCAGGCAAGAATTAATTGAGTTAAACCGTATGAGAAGGGCTTTACCAAAATGAAACAATTTGACATGAAGTAAAAAGATTTTTAGGCATTTGCATACATACCACAAAATTCTTATGTATTTACATATCTCACATCTAAACTTTAATATTTACACACCTATCACTAAAATCTTTAATATCACATCAAAAATAGCGCTATTACCACTTTCTAAAAGTGAAATACACATTTTCATGTATAGGTTTAAAGCACGAAAGTGATATGAATGTAAATATAAAAGTTTAGGTGTGAGATATGTAAATAAATAAGAATTGTGTGCTACATATGTAAATTTCCCAGAGATTTTGTAGGTTAAAAATGAAATAATAGAAAAAGAGTTTGGTATAGCATATATGGCACTTAAAATAGAAACCAAGAGCAGGCAATCTAGTAAAAAAAGATTTATGCCTGTTCAGGACGAAAAAACAGTCTATTCATGTTGGCCAATTCTACTGTGTCATAATCATATAACAATAAGCGTCCAATGCCACACCTAGTGAGCATCTCCGCAGATACGCTGCCAACACCACCAATTCCCTGATATAACTCAAACAAGCATATATTTATCAAGAAATCTACTGCATTAAACAAGATTGAAATAAATAATCAAGGCTGCAAGGCTATCAATTATACAGCAAAAAGAAAAAATATAAATATTCAAATTAGATCAGTTACCATAAAAAGAGAATTCAAATCTAACATTTATATAGCAAAAAAAGAAATAGTTTTTTGAATAGTTATTAGATCATCTAACAAGGCAAAAGAATCAGAAACAAAGTAATAAGAAAAACAAAAAAATAATAACATATATGAACAAAGAAAGAAAAAATATAATATTTTGAATAACATGGTTATTTCAAAGAAAATTCATTCATAAATTCTACTGCCCTACTTCGTTTCTAACTACTCACAACAATAGCAACCGAGAAATCTCGAATTTTTTCATAGTTTTGAACAATGCCCATTCGCTGAAGCGCCATCAGCCTGCTGTATGGATTGCTGCCCACCACCTCAGCACTCATATCCTATAAACAATCCATATTAATGGTCAAAGTAAGAAAAAAAAAAAAGATTGCCAACAAAGGATGCCAGTATAAATGTTGAATGCAGCATAAAAACCTTGACTTTGGAACGGCGGGAAGTCCCTGCCTTTGTCACACTAATGATTTTGCCAATGCGCTCTTCCATCTGTGTCGCACAAAAGTATAATATATCAGTTATTGAAAATGCAGTAAATGTAAACAAAACGTAGATCATGCTCGACACAACATATCCAAAAAGAGAAAACAAAATCATTCAGGCAATCGATCCTAGCCCACGAATCAACCCTCGAACCACCCGCCAATTCAATTAAAAAACCCTAAAGTCATCCCAGTTGCGGCAACAGAGGGATGAAGCTCATCAATCTAAAGTTCTCATGAACGATTTACTTGGGATTCCAGCGCCTAATAATAGATTCGAGGACAAATCCGTATCGGCTTAGATCACCTTTGCGATAGAATCAAGGTGAGCGGCATCCGGCAACGATCCTTTAAGAGTCTCGATGTCCTGCAGCAGCGATCTAAGCTCTGTCTCCATTTCCACCATTTCCGATTCTCTGCAGGCTCGGTGGAGCTTGGTAACTGAGAATTTCAGTGTCTTAATTCCGTTTCTTCTCCGTTTTGCATTAACTGACGGATTTTAATAAATCAGACGCGAGACGAATGGATAGGATTAACCCACCCGAGTCCTTCCGGTCCAGGGCTGTCAAAAAAAACATCTTGTTGGTCTTGTTTGGCTCGTCAGTAAATTCGTATTCGATTCATTCGATAAGCAAATTAGACGAACGTGAATAATTTTTTTTTGTTCGAATAGTTAAATAAACCAAATACAAATAGTAATGCATTCGTTTGTGTTCGAATTGTTATTCTTCAAAATATAAAATAATTTAAAATAGATAATAAATTAATAATAATAATATATTAATATACTATATTAGTAATATACTCATATAGATATTATATATTTATATAATATAAGTTATATAATTAATATCATATATATTAATATTAGGGATGTCAAACTGGCTCGTCATTCACGAACAGCACGTGTTCGGCTTGTTCGTTAAGAAAGACTAAAACGAACAGTGACTTCATGAACAATTTCAAACACGAGTTTATTTCAAACAAACCAAATTTCAAACGAACCAAACATAAACATAAACTTTGTTCGCTCGTGTAGGGTTCGTTTACACACCTATTCTAGAGGCATGAATATATTTTGTATTTTAAGTGCGTCTAAAACATAATTTAAATATACCTAAAATACATCCAATTTTTATCTACTCGTTAAAAAAAAGAGAGATTTATATTCATTTCACTTATAATTTTTATGAGTTTACATCTCTAATACCCAAATTTCAATTCTTACATGTATATTATTTTATTTATACAGAAAAATTTTATTTCAGTTTTAAAAGTTAACATGGTGATATTGTCTATATGATATGTGGAGATAGGCTACAGTATCATTGCAGAAGAAAATCAGAAAACAAAGATAGAGAATATGGGTTTACACATGATTTGCTTCCCCATGACTTTACCCCTAGAACAACTAAAATTAGTTATATGATTCCCGTGACCTCAGGTGAGTTTAATCGGGCTTGTTATCGTTACCGTTGATACCCTTTGTAAGTGGATGGTTAGTGGTAGAACCTTGAGCTTGGTGTGAAGCTCTTGAAAACACCGTTTTGATAGAGCTTTGGTGAGTATATTTGTCGGGGATCCTGTGACTAAATGTATTCTAGTTGAATCTGTTTGGAGTTGATGAGGTCTCTTGTGAAACGGTAATCGATCTCAATTTGTTTGGTTCGGGCGTAGAAGATTAGGTTGTTGGCTAGGGATGTGGAAGATATGTTGTCACAATGAATAGAGGTAGGTTGTGTAGGTTTGATGTTGAATTCCTCCAATATTCTCCTTAGTCATATCACCTTTGTCGTGGCAATCATTGAAGCACGATACTCGGCCTCCGTAGATGATTGTGCTTAACCATCCATGATATGAGAGTATCATTTAAGAATCAGCATACTCCAATAGTGGAATTTCGATCGGATTGATTTCCATCCCAATCAGCATCGGTATTGATACATCTCCAACAAATTTTCATCATCTTAGGAGAATCTTGAGGAATAATATAGTACTCGATACAGTTTTTTTAGCAAGAAATATTCTAACATCGATAAGAACTCATCCAGAATTCTGAGAAATATTCAAACATTGATAAAAACTCATCCAGAATTCTACCAGAATTCTGATTTCAGCAAACTTACAATCGAATTTACCGGCTCAACAAGAAGAACCCAATTTTATCAAAACTAATCCAATCTGAGTCAACTCGAGCCATGATCAAGCCATCAAACCTATGTTACCAAACCAGTTCAGCATTCGATAGAAAATACCCCAGCCACTGGGTTCCCTGCCGAGATGAGACACCGATCTTACAAGTTCCACTCATTCATCTCATGTAGCTCACCCAGCACCACCCCGTCTTACTGTCGCTTCTGTTGATATCATTCGAGATGAGCTATGACGCCTGATTCGGGAAGAGTTCCTTTTGGATAAAAGGGATAGCTTCCCTGCTCGCCGCAACTTCAAAAAATTCTCTCATTTATCTGTTGTGGTTCTCCAACACCCTATCACATCATGTTTCAAACTCCCAAACATTGATGCTTATGAAGGGTTAACTGACCCATATGAGCACGTCGACTACTATCGAACCATCATGCACATTCATTGTGCTTTTGATGTGCTTCTCTTTCAAGTGTTCCCGACGACTCTCAAGGGACAAACTCTTACATGGTTCTACTCTCTCTCATGAGGTACCATCAACATCTTCAATGAGCTTGCAGATTATTCATAGAGCGGTTCATAACAAATATAAGGATCATCAGAGATTTATCTCACTTATTGCGAGTTTTTAAAAAGAGGGGGAATACATTGAGGAATATATAAGCAGGTTCTGGAGTGGATTCGAAGTTATTGAGTGGTGTCTTTCTTGGAGGGCTCCGCCCAGGACCTTTATATTCATCATTGATGTGGGAGACAGTGAGCTCTTATGCTAATTTGACTCATCACGTCGAAGAACAAATCTCTGCATATGAGTTCATCATTGCACACAAAGCACAATTCAAGTGATTGGGGGAAACACAAGAATAACGCCGAGGATACCGATCAAATATCACAGCGAACAAAGTTCAGACCACAGGAATCATGAGCCACAATCGGAAAAAAAATACAAGCCACTCAACACGTCACATGTCAACATCCTAATGACCATCAAGGATGAAGAGACCGTCGAGTGGACAAGGCCGTTAAGAATTCAGATGGTGGAGCCCAATTTCAATATTGTCATTCCCACAATGCAAAATGAAATTCGACAAAAAGATGTTTTCAATTAAAGAAAGAAATTAAAAGTCTGATATGCCAAGGTCACCTGGGTCGCTGCTTACATAAACAAGGTGAGGAGAACCGGAAGAGAATCGTCGGAGTTATCGAATGAGAAGAACACAACTCCAAATTATCTTATTTGAGTAAAAGACTTGCTCATAAACTTCTAATTTTATTTTAGCAAAATTTTCATGTTGCTTTAAAATGTTATTTCATTGAAATTTTCTTTTTTTCTCATGAAAGATTTTTGTGTAGAAAGTCCCCTTGAGGAAAAGAGGTAGACATGGTCCTTATACATTCCCTTGAAAGTCGAGCCCAAGAGGCATAACTCGGCGTAAGTCCTCTCTACCCTGGATTTGAATCTTAGTTGGGTCGAATTACCACATATGAAAGATCGGTATTTAAGGGAAAAGATGATACGTTTGCCCTAAATATGATACACCCAAATTCCATCATTTGAGCTCCTAAAATCTACTCAAATTCCTCTTTTCAACTAAATCTTATCCAAATTTAGCTATTCAAATTCTTAAACCTCGCTGCTAAGGCTCAGCTTCGAGCCCGCGATAAAAAAGATTTTAATTTTTTGTTATGCACAGGGATCGAACTAGTCACCCGCCTTGTGAGGAAAAAAAAAACCCTACCAACTAAACTGGACTTATTTGCTTCAACATATACAAATTTATATTTTTATAATATAAATTCTCGCGGTAAAATAATATATACTCATATGTATATATATACATGGAAAAAAGTAAAAGACTTTAGATTTTGATATTTTTGGTCAATAAAGTAATCTCAACCGAAAATAGTGACAACCGAGCTCCACTTATAGGCGACTTTTTGGGCAAGAAATATTCAAACCTCAATAAACTTATCCAAAACTCCAATTTCAGCAAACTTACAGTCAAACAGACTGAACTGACAAGAAGAACATAATATTAACAAAATTAATTCTTTTTGGGCAAGAAATATTCAAACCTCAATAAACTTATCCAAAACTCTAATTTCAGCAAACTTGCAGTCAAACAGAGTGGCCTGACAAGAAGAACATAATGTTAACAAAATTAATCCAATCTAAGTCAAATCAAGCTTAGATCAAGTTATTAAACCACTCTTAAAATTTTTCATGACATATTTAAAAGGTCAAACGAATGTCGAATCTAGAAAGCCTATAATCGAATAGAGTGTCTCGACAAGACGAATCCAACGAGCCTAAGATTGCTCAATTCCGACATTGATCGGGCACTTAAATGTCTATCAAACGCTATCAGATTGAATGAAGCCTTCCGGACCGTCTGATCAAAGTGGTTTATATTCTTACATTCATTGCACCCAGAACTCTATAAATAGAGTCTCGCCCCTCTCATGAGAGGAGGTTGGAGGCTTGAGAGAGAACTTAAAGCTTTGAGAAGAAGCTAAAGTCCAGCGCCACCCATGTCACCATCAATCGCCGCCGATCATCGTCGGTCATTATCAACCGCCGTTAACAACCCCCGATAGTCGTCGAGCACTATTGTAGTTGTCAACCACCACTTACTGTCGTCAACCGCAGACCACCGTCGATCACCACCAATCACTATCAACCACCACCGATCAGAAGCCGCCAGTCGACGTTGTAACTTGGAAAACCTGGTAATATTTTGTTGTCTGTGGGACAATAGGTCTCTGTAACCATTAACATATAGATGATTTTTACATCTGGGTCGAACCCTATGATTTTCTCCCTTTACAGGTTTTCCACGTAAAAATTGTTGATATCATTACGGGTTGTTTTCTTTTATGTGAGTGTGTGTTGAATTATCCCGCAACGCTAAAACGATAATCAATTACTCTACCACCGCGAATTTTCTAGCACACATTAATTCCCAATCTTCTTTTAAATTTTAACAATTCTTTTGAGTATAAGTTTATGGATGGAAATTTAATATTTGTCAAGGCAAACTTTGAAATTTCTTTGATTAACTGTTTTTTTTTTTTACTTTGGGCTTTTAGCTGTTTTTGGTTTCACCTTGGTTTTTTTCTTTTATAGGAGAACTTTTTTCTTTTCTTCTTCTTTTGTGAATCTATTAGTTTGCATGTTTTTTGCTTAGTGCTCTTGGTTGGGAGGCATTTTTGTTTTCTATTTTACTTTGGTTTTTTTGTTTGCTTCTTGTTGCTTTGATTGGTTCTTGGTACTGTTACTCAGCTATTTGGTTAGTGCTTGCCCTTCTCTTGAGGTTTTTGATTGTTTCTTTATGTTTTTTTTCCT